TCGATACCTTTGCTCTCCACCTCTTGCATCACCCCCAAGGCTTTATTTACATAACCATTCACACATAACCCGTGAATAAAAATACCATAAGTTGTGTTGTCAGCTGCATAGCCCTTGGCAGGCATAAGCCTCCAAATCATTGTTGCTTCATCGATCTTCCCATTCTCCAACAACCCTTTTATCAAAATGTTATAACTCACTATGTTAACTGAATTCCTCTGCTCCATGATTCTCCATAACTCCAAACTCTCCTTAATTTTCCCACAACGGCAAAACCCACCAAGCATAGTATTGTATGTAACCACATCAATAAAGGCCTTCCTTTCGACCAACTCGTTAAACACACTTTCAGCCTTATCAACATTCCCTTCATCGCACAGCCCATGTATCAAACTGCTATATGTATACAAATCTTTTTCTCGCTCATTCTGTTTCATTCTGTCCCATATCTTCAAACAATCATCTACTCTTCCACATTTGCTCAAACCACTAATCATGATGTTGTGAGTCTTAACATTCGGATAAACAGAAGAGTCCTCCAACAGTTTGTCCCACAGTTGCATAGCCATCTTGTGATCTTTTTCCTTAAGAAACCCATCAATTAAGATATTATAACACGTAACATCAGGTGCCACTCTTCTTTCAGACATATCATCGAACAGTTCCAATGCATCATCCAATTTTCCAGTTTTCGCAAGATCGTTGATCACAGTGCTGTAACTAAACACATCCGGCTTAAAACCCTCTTTCCACATCCAATTAAGAAACCCTCTCGCTTTCTCGAACTCCTTCTTCTTACAAGACATCTTAATCAAAACATTATACGTCTGCAGATTTGGCGCCACACCCGCTGTTTCGAAGTAGGCGAACAAGGACTCGACTTTAACCCATTGTATCGCCTCTACGAACGCATTGAGTAGAGTATTATAAGATCGAATCCCAGGCTCGCACCCGAAAATCTCTCGCATTCGTTTGAAAACATCTAGAGCTCGATCGGGCATGG